TAGAAGATCATCTTCATTGTCACCATTTAATACGTCTGGGTTTCCACAAGGATATAACTTAGCCATGTCCGAAATTCTAGTAATGATTTTTTTAAGGACATGACACATTTCATACACGTTCATTTTATCGTCTATGAATCGAGTGACAAATAAAAGTACATATGGGAATTATAAACAATGAACATTTCTCTTGGATTTTGGATTTATTTATAAGCATCGGTGGTTCAGTGGTAGAATGCTCGCCTGCCACGCGGGCGGCCCGGGTTCGATTCCCGGCCGATGCAGTTCTATATTTTACATTTCCTACGCCCCTATAAATATGGAGTTATAATTTAAAACTGGATGCTCAGGAATCATAAAAGGGGAATTAAATTCTAAGTTAGATGCCTGTTTCAAAATTCAATATTATAGACAAATATTGTTTGTCAGATCTATTCGATTGGACTCCTATATGAATACGATATAGTCTTATATAAAAATATTTAATACGTCTGGGTTTCCACAAGGATATAACATAGCCATGTCCGAAATTCTAGTCGTCTATCAATCGAGTGACAAATAAAAGTACATATGGGAATTATAAACAATGAACATTTCTCTTGGAGTTTGGATTTATTTATAAGCATCGGTGGTTCAGTGGTAGAATGCTCGCCTGCCACGCGGGCGGCCCGGGTTCGATTCCCGGCCGATGCAATTCTCTTTTTTTAAGCTATAACATGAAATTTCAAATTAAGTTGTCATTTTGTTAGCAGATATCGAAATATTCACCGGATACATCAGTATAAAATTCTATGACAATTTAGCCCTAACTATGGATAGTCACCATATAATGGTACTCACCGATTTTTGGTGTTTTGAGGATTTTTGACACTTTTTTTGTATTGGCTACAGTTTGGTATTATTGATTCATGTTTAGTACTAAATCTCCTTACTAAAAATTATAATTATAGGTTATACATTTAGGTATGGCCACATTACGCATTTTCAGCCGCTTTTTCGATTAGCCCTCATATTACAGTACCCCAAAAATTGTCGGTATTGTGAGGAGTTTGGACATGTTTGGTATTTTGATTTTACGTAGAGTAACAAGTCTTCTCATCCAAAATATTAGTCAACCTTTCGGAGTATAAAACTTAGTTATAGTATAGTGTGGCCCTAAGAGTTTGTAACGTCGCGAAAAATTTATCCTAGACCCACCTTTTAATATACCGATCGTGATACTTTGACAAGCTGAGTCGATCCAAACATGTATGACCATTATAATCTGTAAACACGCTGCAGCCCACAATTATGGACAAATTGCCACGAAATGTTGCATGTACGATCGATTCGAACTAGAAAAGATCGATTTTGTTTTTGGTTAATATTAAGGGAATGGAATGGACCAAAAACTTTATTTTTGTCAGTTTTTCTGCTCGCTCCAGAGACCGCAATTATGAATCGAACATCACGAAATTTTACATATTGTTTTGACCAAGGCCTTTGGTGTGAAAAAAATGCAAATTTTACATTCAATGGCGTATATATAACACTAGAACGCCGAAGGCGGTCATTTTGACCGCTTTCCAATTTCAAGTACAAAAGCAACTGTGCATTTAATGACACTTTTTTTTTTAAATATGGTTACTTTTTGTACCTCATAGAATTACGTTTATTATAAAAAATTCACCAAATTTTAAAAAAAAGTGTCATTAAATGCACAGTTGCTTTTGTACTTGAAATTGGAAAGCGGTCAAAATGACCGCCTTTGGTGTGTTATATATACGCCATTGAATGTAAAATTTGCATTTTTTTCACACCAAAGGCCTTGGTCAAAACAATATGTAAAATGACCTCCTTCGGCGTTCTAGTGATAATTACCTCTGAAGCACATAGAACGGAGCAGTTGACAGTGTATCCAAGAGGAGTGGTTGACTCCTCTTGACTGATACCAATTATATTGCTGCATGTAGTCGGATATGGTAGTTGTACGTAAATATTTAAGGGGTATACATTTTCTGATATTGTTTAGCATTACCCTTAACCCTCTAGAGGGCGGAAATGTCGCACTAATCTCGAATTGGAAATGAATTTCCGCTCAAATTAAATTTGGGGGATTAAATGGACCAAAACTTTATTTTTGTCTGTTTTGCTCAATTATAAGCAGAATCTTGTCAACTAATTACAAGGGACATTTTGATAATGATCGGAGAATATTTAACGCGACAAAACCAAGATTTTTGTGTGTAAAATTACATAATTTGAACCATATGGTAAACGTTCATTCCGGGGAAAAAGATGCCAGGATAAGAAAAACCTCTAATCGGTTAAGAGAATGAAAATGTCGCGAAATGTTGCTCATGCTCGGAATATTGAGCTGCAGAAAGTTAGAGTTCAGTGGTGGATGTGTAAATGTCGCCTCTAATCGGTTAAGAGAATGAAAATGTCGCGAAATGTTGCTCATGCTCGGAATATTGAGCTGCAGAAAGTTAGAGTTCAGTGGTGGATGTGTAGGGTATCATATGGTCGGCCCCGTGCGACTATGCGGTACCGCTCACTGTTTATACCCTACAAAACTATCTTGTCAGGGTATTATAACTTTGTGCAGCCCCAAAAGTTTGTAACGCCGCGAAATATTGGTCCTAGACCACCCTTTAAGTATACCGATTGTCATATCTCTACTTGCTGAGTCGATCTAGACATGTGTGTCCGTCCGTCCGTCTGTTAATTATAATTTGTAAACACGATACATGCCACATTTATGGAACAATAGTCACGAAATTTTACATGTAGGATGGGTTCTGGCCAATGAAGACCGCTATAGTTTTTGGGAAAGATCGGTTAATATTGGAAATGGGCCAAATACTAATTTTTTCGGTTTTTCTGGTCGCTCCAGAGGCCACAATAATGGCCCGAACATTGTGAAATCTTGCATGGAGAAGGGGATCGGGTCAAAGAATAAGCACGCCTGTTTTTATAAAGATCGGTCAATATTCAGCGGATCAAATGGACCCTGAATTTTGTGTGAAAAATGACAAAATTTTTATTCTTTAGCATATATATTTACCACTGAAGGACATAGACCCGAGAAGTTGATATTATATCCAAGAGGAGTGGTTGACCTTTAAATTAAGACCAATTACATTGTTGTATGTGCTCCGATGTGGGAGTTACAGATAATAATTTTGGAATGAAGTGGACCGAAAACTTAATTGTTTGTGTTATTTTCGAGTCGATCTATTGACCACAAATGAAAGCCGAACATCACAACACAACCCACGGTGAAGGGAATCTGGACAATATCTGTTCTGAATACTCGTAATATTCGGAGAATATGTCAGTGTAAGGAAGAGGTGCTGTTTACTTCTAATCGGGCAAGAGAGTGCAAATATTACGAAATATTGCCCAGGCTCGGAATAAACATCCGCAGAAAATTTGAGTTCCGTGGTAGTTGTGTAGGGTATCGTATGGTCGTCCCCGTCCGAATATACTGCTGCGCTTACTGGGTTTATATTATAATGGTTTAGATTACGTCCGTTGTAATCAGGCTAACATCCGAAGGTCATGAATAAATATGGCTAAGAATAAATATGTCAAATAGTGTTTGGGTCTTATAAAGGTTCCGTCCGATTTGAAGTGGTTTCAAGGCCCAAAACCCATTTGACATATACATGACAATTTGTTCTGCCCTTTGAAAAACTAAAACGCCATATAATAGTAAGTTTATGGGATCTCTGATGAATATTTCATGATAATAAAAACCATAAATTGATTTAATTAAATACGTAGATAATTCACAAAAATATAAATTGCAAACAACAGTGACTACTTTCACATTCACTTTGAAAACAAAAAACCTGACTTCACAACAAATCCCACTGGATAAATAATATAATGTAAACGCTTGAATGATGTTCGTAATGATTTTGCATTAGCCGGTATGACGTAATGCTCTCACACATTAATATCGAATTAATAACAATAATTTGTGTTGTAAATGTTACGTTTTTACTACGTCGTATTTTTTTTTGTTTGGGCTAACTTGCAATTTTCGTTGTCGAAATTTAATTATCCCTCCCTCCAAAAAATACAGAGGTAACAAAAACAAAAAAGGTGAAAGATAATACAATGGTTTAGCTGATATTTCCCCAGTGGTTGAATATTCTGTGAGCCCCTCTTTTTAGTAAGGGGGAAATTTAATTATATACCGAGAAGGGAGAAATTTGTATGTAGTTAGTGCTATTGTAGAATGTGACAAGGCCAGCAAACAACGACAATACAACGTTGTTAGCCATGAGAAAGTTTGGCAAGCAAAAAAAAAATGAGAATAAATTTTCATCAAAATGCAAGTTGGTCGGTAGTACACATTGCATGAAATGAAGAAAGTTTCTTGTTTCACGAGAATTTCACAAGCTTCATTAAAAGTATTTTGTTAACCAGCTGTGTGCTGCTACCTACTTGGACTTATTAAGACATTAAAGGTCAGCTATATGAAATAATGTACAACGGTGTGTTTGTTTTGGGTAGCATTTCAAAAGTTTTGGGTTCTACAAAATGCAAACTTGCACATTTCATAACTAGGGCCATAATAGATAATTATGAAAAAAGGCAATGAAGGGAAATGAAATAAGGAAAATTGCATTAATTACAATATTATTCCATTTTTAAGGATAGTCTGTAGAGAAAGTAATGGTGGCTCAAAATTCATAATGAAAAAATGCATGTACACTTCAGACACTTCAATAAAAATGTATTTAATGTAACTATTAAAATCAATTTCAATTTCCACAATCTAAAACAATAACATACAATTAAAATTCGTTGATGACATTTTCAACACACAAAAATGATGGAAACAAAAATACAAACTTTAATTGAATTCATATCCTGTGATTTTGAAACTGGGGGAAATTGCATGAATCCGAATGACATTTGAAGTCATTAGCAACAAAATAATAATAATTTGTCACAAAACTATAATTACACTCATTATAACAAAGTCAAAAACAATAATAACTTACCTGTAGTTATGGACACTGTCCATGTTGGCCAATCGCGATGTGTACCATTGGTATAGTACAGCCAGAATGTGTATTTCGTACCGGGTAAAGCACGCGAAAATTGTATTTCATCACCAATTTCATTGGAGGCAATTGTTGTATTTGGTTCCGGATAACCATATGGCGGACTATAGTCTAGACGGTAAAAGGCACCGTCTATACCCTGATTATTGGGTATGCTTATTTCTAAATCGGCACAATGACCAAGCTGCAAATAAAGATGAAAGAAGAAAACAGAAAACGTTAGTAAACAAATTTTAATCAGTTCTCCAAAAAGCGGGGGAAGAACAAATGACAAATGAAGTGAAAACTTAATATGAACATGGCATTGCATGACTTTTTTAAATTATAGGCATTGTTTTGATAAAATCACAATCATGTCCAACTTAATTTCCTGACAATGTTAACTAGACATGATTATCTGTTGGAAATATGTAGATTTTTTTCTTCTTTGATTTTGTTTTCACAAACACGGAAATTTTTAATTAACAATAACAATAAGAAAAAAAAAACATGAAAATGATTAATGTTTGTGTATTTTTTTAAGAGTATCATTGCATACTTTAGGGCTTTGTATAATACAAAAGCATATTTTTTGGGGAGATTAAAATTGTCTGGTAATGCGGTATGGAATGTCAAGAGTATGAACATTATTTTTGCTGTAGTAGGGATGGTATATAAATAAATGGCAGATATGCAGGAAATAGTATGATTTCGATTCTATTCGATTTTTTCGAATAGAAAAAATCATTATATTCGAAAATTTTCAAATTAAAAAAATTCTCAAAACTGATGTTATTTTTTTCTATAGAAATAAATCGCAGAGGTGGGGCCCATTTTTATCCTACAGAAAAAAATTGTTAAAACGTCGGTTTTTTTGAAACAAAAAAAAAAAAAATCCTCAGAACTGAAGTCCTATTTTTTCTATAAAAAATCCTCTGAACTGAAGTCCTATTTATACCCTTCACAACACTGTGGTGCAGAATATTATGTCTTTGTGCATATGTTTGTAACAGGCAAAAGGAAACGAGATAGACACATGGTTCCTTTTGAGAATATGCATAGAATCACTTTCTAAGTCGATTTATGCATGTCCGTCCGTCCGTCCGTCCGTCTGTGAGTCTGTCCATGTTAAATTGTAAACAAAGTGCAGGTCGCATTTATGAACCGAATCATTTATATGGCCCAAGGACGAAACCTATTGAAATTGGGAAAAATCGGTTCAGATTTAGATATAGCTCCCATATATATATTTAACCGATTTAATGTAAACGGTCCCTATACATCTTTCGATTTGCACGAAAATTGGTACAGCCTAATCATTTAGGTCTAGAATGATGTCTGCCAAGTTTCGTAAAAATCGGTCCAGATTTAGATATAGCTCCCATATATAGTTTCGTCCGATTTCATGTAAATGGTGCACCAAACGTGCTGAATTGAGTCTAGAATGATGTCTGCCAAGTTTTGTGAAAATCGGTCAAGATTTAGATATAGCTCCCATATATAGTTTCGTCCGATTTAAGATAAATGGTACACCAAAGTCCCTATATATCCTTCGATTTGCACGAAATTTGGCATAACGTGTTGAATTGAGCCTAGAATGATGTCTGCCAAGTTTAGATATAGCTCCCATATATAGTTTCGTCCGATTTAAGGTAAATGGTGCACCAAAGGCCCTAAATATCTTTCGATTTGCACGAAATTTGGCACAGCGTACTGAATTAAGTCTAGAATGATGTGTGCTAAGTTTCATGAAAATCTGTTTAGATTTAGATATAGCTCCCGTATATATTTTTCTCCGATTTAAGGTAAATGATGCACCAAAGTCCCTAAATATCTTTCTATTTGCACGAAATTTCGCACAGTGTATTGAATTAGGCCTAGAATGATGTGTGCTAAGATTCGTGAAAATCGGTTCAGATTAAGATATAGCTCTTATATATAGTTTCGTCCGATTTTATGTAAATGGTGCACCAAAGTCTCTATATATCTTTTGATTTACACGAAATTTTGCATAGTGGACTGAATTGAGTCTTGAATGACGTGTGTTAAGTTTCGAGTAAATCGGTTCAGATTTAAATATTGCTCTATATATAGTTTCGTCCGATTTTATGTAAATGGTCCACTAAAGTCCCTATATATCTTTCGGTTTGCACGAAATTTGACACAGCGTTATGAATTAGCTGGTTTATGTTTCCTGAAATCGTTCAAATCGGTTCAGATTTAGATATAGCTTCAATTTAGTATAGGTTGCAGAATGACATGTTTATGGATCCAATTTCATTTTACTGGTCCATTAAAAATGTGACGTCTGTTAGGATTCATCTGTTGAATATACCCAAAGTGGTGAAGGGTATCATATAGTCGGCCTCGTCCGACTTTACTACTTTCCTTACTGGTTTTTCTATAAAAAATCCTCCGAACTGAAGTTTAACTGACCTTCGACATTTTTCTATAGGAAAAGTCCACAGATTCTATAGCTTATGTTTGATTCCTACAGAAAAAAAATCTTTAGAGCTTGATATTTTTTATAAAAAAAAAAAATTATCGAAAATGAAGTTCGAATTTTTCTATAGAAAAATGTCTCAGAACTGAGGTTTACTTTTTTTTCTTAAAAAAATACCTCTGAAGTAAGGTTCAATTTTTTCGATTTATATAGAAAATAATGTCTCAGAAACAAGGTTATTTTTTCCTATAGAAAAAAATGCCTCAGATCTGCGGTTCGATTTTTTTTTGTTTGTATGGAAAAAATCCTCAAAACTTAGCTTAATTTTAATATGAAAAAAGTCTTAAGAACTGAGGTTAATTTTAATTGGAAAAAAGTCTGCATAAATGAGGATCGATTTTTTTCTATAGAAAGATGGGCCTCCAAACTGAGGTTTGATTTGTTTCTGTAGAAAAAAAGACCTTAGAACTGAGGTTAGATTTGTTTCTATAAAACAAGATCTCAGAACTGTAGTTTAATTTTTTCTATAGAAAAACATACCTCAGAACTGAGGTTTAATTTTTTCTGTAGAAAAAAATACCTCAGAACTTAGGTCCGACTTTTTCTATAGAAATAAATACCTCAGAAATGAGGTCCGATTTTTTCTATAGAAATAAACACATCAGAAATGAGGTCCGATTTTTTTTCTATAGAAAAAAATATCTCAGAACTGAGCTCCGATTTTTTTTAATTGCCTCAGAACGGGGATTTCGGTTTTTTTCTAAAAAAAATACCTCGAAACTGACGTTCGATTTTTTCTATAGAAAAAAATACCTCAGAACTTAGCTTCATGTTTATTGTTTAGAAAAAAATGCCTCAGTACTGATGTTCATTTTTTTTTTAAGAATCTTTAGCACTGAGATTTTATTTTTAATTTAAACAAAATCCTCATAACAGAGATTCGATGTTTACTACAGAGAATAAATACTCAGACCTGAGTTTCGACATTTTTCTACAGAAAAAAGTTCTCAGAACTTTGGATAATTAGTTTTATTGGAAAAGACTGAAGTCTAAATTTTGTCTATAGAAAACAATTCTTAGAACTGAAATAGGATTTTTTACATAGGACAAAGTCCTCAGAACTAAAGTTCGATCTTATTATACAAAAAAAAAAAAAAAAAAAAATAGTAGGATTAAATTTGAAATATTTTGTGATAAAAAATTGAAAAAATTTAAATATTGATAAAATATGTTGTGATAATTATTTTCTAAGAAATATATCCTAAGAAATGAGATTCGATTTTTTCCAAAAAAACCTCCGAAACTGGTGTCAATTTTTTTCTATTGAAAAAAAAATCTTAGAACATAGGTTCAGGTCTTCAGAACTGAATTCGAATTTTATATAAAAGCCATAACTCCCTGCCTTTTTAAAATTCAACACACAGTAAAGCTTAAAGTTGTATCTTTCATTCCAATACAACAAAGTAAACAAAAAAACATACACACACATTTTACAGCAGACCAAATAAACACAGGACTACTATAAAAGTCTAGCACGCCATGAGAAAGACAAAATATAGGGATTATTCATAGATGAGACTTCTCCTCTAGGAGGATGCATTCATGTGGAATTTATATTGTCTGTGGTGCGATGTTGGTTTGGTTTTGCTTTGTTGACGGTATCCTACCACTATGAAAGTATGCACAGACTCTAGCTTGGGTTTCCTGTATTTTACATCTGCGTGTAACTGCATAACCCGCATATTCCGGCAGCGCAAGGAAAGTGTTTGAACGGAGGATGACGGTGATAACGACAGCCACCAACTAACATTTACAGTAAACAATGAATTGATCCCCATGTATTTGGTGCGGACCACAATCGACAAAAAAGGGTACATCCTTTTCGTTCGTTACGACTTTGCTCAACAATGATACTTTGTACCCGTTGATGGTAGGTTGGAAAACCAACCAATGATAAATAAAAAAGAGCATTGCTACTATTGAAAATTGTAGGAAAATGTGATCCCTATACCAAATAACAGGATAAGTATATATAAGGAAGAAAGAAAAAATGGAAAACAAAGTGGAATTTGTGCCTTTAAAGTTTCTTAGTTATGGGATTTAAATGTAATTTTAAACATAAAAAAATTTTCAGGGGTTCTAATGTACCAATTCTGTTTAGTTGGAGTCCCTGGTAAACGAAAATACCGTTGTTTTTTTTTGGTCACTTCGAAAATTAATTTTATAACGGCAAATGTAGAGAAAAAGTTATGTAATTTCTAATGGATTTATATTATTATTTTTTTCTTTCGAAGAGTATTTCGATGAGTTACATTTTCATCGTAGGTACATTTTTAGCCTTAAGGCTGTGGGCATAAAAATACGATCACGTCATTTCAAAATACCAGTCTTAAAGGGCAAGCACTTCGGAGCAAAAATGGTGGCCTTTTTCTTAGGCAAAACTGGGCATGTGGCGACTGTTCCACATTTTTATCATAGCAAAATGGGAAGTTTCAGTTTTGGAACCGACCTCTAGCCGTAAGGTTGATCGTATAGATATACGATCGCGTCATTTCAAATGACCAGTCTTAGTGGGCAAGCAGTTCAGAGCAAAAATGGTTGCCTGTTTTTTCGGCAAAACTGATCATGTGGCGACTGTTCCGCTTGAGCAACATACGATGGTAAAGTCTGAACGGAGGAATTCGAAAAATGAAAAGCAGAAGGCGAATCATTGTGCATTATCATTGTACGGCCTCTCACACATCGACTCAATTCTGCCCCTTTTTGACCACCTAAAACCTAAAACGAATGGATCATCCATCATACAGCACTTAGTTTGGAC